GTGAGAGTTACAGGTTTTCTTCTAACCGCAGTAATGATACTTTTAGAAAGTCTGAAAATATTTCTTTTGTAGTTAAAAACCATGTTTGGAAATGTTTGATAACAAAAGAAACTGAATCTGTGGTTTCTAGGTAAAAAATCCAGTTAATGTTTATAATGATTCCTATAACCGAGCTATGTGACTAGATATAACCCCTTAAGAAGCTTCATTAGAAGTCGTGGATAAAGACTAAAGATAATTATCACCCGCTTCGATTGATCCGTCGAGGTTGTAGCTAACAACCACGGGTGGGGGTGTCAACTCGTATAGATCTATACATACATATATCTCGCTCTGAGGATTAACGGTTATAGCCGAGTGGGTATACTACGTAGTTAAACATAGGTAATGAACAGTGTATTACTATGAATACCATTAACTAAGGTATATGATAAAGTTTCGCTAAAATTCAAGTAATTCGATATATCTGTAAAAGTGTATATTACTCGCTTAAAATGGATAGTAAATTTCTCAAGTGCATGAATAGATTTCAAGATATAAGTTTTATAATTTATACATATCTATTTAACATATGTATAAATCTATGCATGATATAAGTAAAATAACGCAAAGTTGATAAACATTTTTAACACATATATTATTGACATGCATTATTTCGTAAAATCATAATATTCTTATGACATATAAATTATGAAATGCTATTTCATTACATAAAATCATGACATCATATAGTAAAATGATAAGTTATATTTTCTAGTTGTAACATGTATTAAACCACTATAGCATGTGTATATCATGATAAGCTAGTTATGATATATTATTTTGATGAAATATCGATTTTAACTAGATATGAGTTTAGCATGCATTTTTCAAATTTGATATACGTTTTTCATATGTATTTTCCCCCAAAAGTAATTAAAACATTAAAAAGGGGTCGTAAGCACTCACTTTTATAGCGTGAACTAGGTTTGTTGGTGTGAAACTTATCGTGAGTTACCGCAACGTGACACTCTTTGCGTTTAAAACAAACCATCGGGACTATTTTTGTTACCTAATAAACCAAATGGGTGTTTTGGTATTATTTAACAAGTGTGGGGGTTGTTTTATAATTTAACTAAACCATAAGGGCTGATTTGTTAAAATAACTCAACAACAGACTGGTTTGCATACTTAATTTTAAAAGAGGGACTGAAATGGTTTAAATCATTTCAAGTTTGAGGATTAGGACCAATTTTGTAAACAATTACTCATGGAGGGGATGTTTTAATTAATTTAAATCAAGGCAGGGGTTATTCTTAAATAAAGTGAATTGAAGTTTGAAACGGTCATCTTCCTCCTTCTGTTTCATTCGCATGTTGGAAAAACGAGACCCATCACAATAAGGTCTCTCGGTTCTGCTTGATTATGCATGAAATAAGTAAAAATATACAAAGGTGGTGGTCAGACTTACAATGGCAACAAGAAATGATGGTGGCTAGTTGGAAATAATAGCGGCATCACCAAGTGGAGATGGTGGCAGTGGGTGGCAGAGTTGAGGTGGCAGCTTCACTGCCTTCACTTCTTTCTCCTTTTATGTTCAGTGACACTCGACAGGGAACAAAGGCGCAGTGTCGGGTGTTTGGTGGTGGTAGGTCACGACATGAGGAGGCGGAGAGGGTTGCTACAGCCGAATGTGGTGGTTTTCTTCGTCGGTGGAGTGGCACCTCCGGTGAGGTGTTCTAAACCAAGATAGAGAAAGATATTGAGGGAGATTCAGGGAAAAAGAGTAAGGATGAAGAGGGTTGTGAATTTGTGTGGTAAATGTAATGTCCGAAAAATTTTAAGGTAAAAATTTCATTTTAATTCAGCTATAAACACCATTTAATCATTTCAATCATTCAAAAGTATATCAGAGTAAAAATAGTTATCAGGGTATAATTCCAAAATCATAAAGTGCAGAAACATGGGTGGATGCGTTGTGATCAAGCCGGGCCCTTCCCTCTCGAACCGGATGTACCTGAAAACATTTTAAAAATAAACCATTAGCACAAAGCTTAGTGAGTTCCCCAAAATACCGCATACCATACATATATGCCAGCTTAAGGTTGTGCTTGGTCTATTTCACCCCCGATTCTATTTCAACTCATGTGTCGGCCGAAGGCCGTACCGGGTCAATTTTACCCTCGAGTCTATTTCAACTCATATGTCAGCACATGGTTGTATCGCTTCTATTCCACCCCTGGGTCTATTTCACCCTACATACACATAGCAAACAAGCACACAGGCATACAACACATACAACAGGATTCACAAAGACTACAAGCACATGCAATCCCTAGTGTCCTACAGTATAGTGAACAAACTCACCTCAGTCTGCTGTCAGTCAAACAGATGCTCGGGCTGCTGAATCGGAGAATCCCGCGCTAACCAATCAAATAAAACCCCAACTAAGAGATGGGCCATAAACCATAATCGGTAATCTAGTTTATTTGTCCAACACCCAGGGTAAAAGACCATTTTAACCTTCCCATATCTGACCCAACAAATCATGGACCAACTCCCAGAAGACCTGAGACCCAAAAGGCCCAAAAAGACGTTTTCACGAGTACGCCCGCATACAGGACTCGTACGGCCCCCGTACTGCATGTTGATGCCTAACGTACAATCCTCCACAGCATGATAGCGGGGAAACCATGCATTACGTTGAGTGTACGCATATGTACACCCAATGTACCCCCTTAGTGACCATTTTATCATTTTAGGGCTTAATGCTTAAGAACAAAACGTCCAAACTTAGATCTAATCTCAAAACATCGACTTAAGTCATACAGTTTCCACCTTTATGACTTTCCATGGTTAGAAAAGGTCCAAAAGCTAAAACCCTAACTTATTTATCCATTAAGTCATCTTAACTCTTGCATGGAAGGGATAGGAGGTCCAAGATCACATTTTTATGGTTCCTAATAAATCCATAAAGGATAAATTTTCCAACTTTATCCATTAGAATGGTCCAAACAACCAATATCTAGTCTTTAAGGCTCCAAGGGACCAAAAGTGCATCTTTTTCAACTTAATCCATTAAGTTCAAGTCTCCAACCAACATGATGTTTAAATGGATAAAGTTTCCAAATTTATCCATAACTAGGTCACAAACTTTCAAGATCTAAAGTTTATGCACTAAAGTGACCAAATTCTCATAACACCCAAAACTAGCTAGATCTAACAAATGCATCATCAAGATTCAAGCTTTATACCTCTAGAAGAAATATCAAGGTGAACAAATTCTGGATCTACAAGCTCCAATGCAACCAAGACGTCTCCAATGAGCTCCTTCTTCTCCATGATGCACCAAGAACACTCCAAAGCACTTAAAAACACCTTCTTTTTGCTCACAAGGCTCAAACTAGGGATAGGGTTTCAAATGAGGGTGTTGGAGAGGTGTAGGCTGAGAATGGAATGGGTTTAGGGAAGTTAAGGAGCTTAAATATGGCTCAAACCACGAAAATAGGGTTTGGGCATTGATCGCGTACACCCAATGTACTTAGGGATACCCTAGTACGCCCATCGTACTTCCCCGTACGCCCGACGTATGCGGCTTAACCCAAAACTGTCCTAACTTCAAATGATCATAACTTCTTCGTTTCAACTCCGATTTCGACGATATTTATATCCACGGAAAGGTAATGAGAAGTTCTACAATCCTATCAACTTTCCGAACTTAAATCCTAAATTCATAAAAGATGTCTGAAACATCACTTTTCCTGTTTTACCCTTTGACTCCAAAACTCAATCAAGGGCTTGGATCGCACAACCAATAATATCACCATAAAATAGTGTCTAAACCTTATTCCATTGAAGCCAAGGGCCTTTAATTTATCCATTTATCTCCCATAATCCCGAAATAGGAAACTTCTCGAAACCGGATGTTACAGTAAATGAAGACTCATAGTCTTCCTTTTATAGTGTTTTAGATCTTTGCAAGAACCATGCATGTATTAGAAGAAGTACTGTACATCCAAAGGTGGTGATGCGGAAAGCTGGTAACGTGGGAAAAGGGAAAAGAGACGCATCTGATTTCTTTCATCTATTTGTTCTTGTACTTTAAGTCAAGATGGCAAGCTTGATGGTCTTCCATTCTTAAAATTGAGTGCCCAAATTTACAAGAGTTAGATTTTGGTTGCATGGATAGAAGTTGACTTCCAAATGCATGACTAAGGTTAAAGTAGGTATGGAGTTCATGTGCTTTTGCGAGTTCTATGGGAATGGGATAGAAACAGGAAAACTATGGGGATTGAAAGTCTAAATCGTATGCATGATCAATATATGGTCCCACAACCTAGCTTAATGTACAAAGTCAAGGGTGTTTATCTTGTGATATCTTAAATAGTTTTAAATAGCATTTTAAGTTCATAAACTCAAATCCTGACTTCTAATAATTTTTCCAAAGGCAACGAATGATAGATTTAAATTCAAGGGTTCCAAAAACCCGAACGGATTAATTTTTAGAGTTGTAGAACTCCGGGAAATCACGTTTAAATATTTGCGTCTAATTGATCTAAAACGTCTGATTTTTTGACTTTTACAAATATTTTTACTAAAAATATTACGAGTGTGAAATTAAATAATAGATTGTAGTCTGAGTCCAAAAACGCTCTCGGAATTTCCATCTCAGGTGTACAAGTGCATCAACGGATCAAAACGGTTTATGCAGTTTAGGTAAAATCAATGTTATACCGGTTTGGTTTCTTATAACAGTCGGATCTTTTGCATACGAACTCCGTTTTGGACGTTCTTTGTATTTCCGGACTCAGGTGAACATGTACTACGAGACTAGAGTATTAGTTTCGCTTACAAACGTTTAATACGAATTTTTAGTTTTCAGACGTATTAAATATGGTTACAATTTGTGTTTGTGATTTTGTTTGAGATTTTCCACAACGGGAAGTAAGATATATTTTATATCTTATTGTAATTGTATTGACACTATTTATTTATCAAATTATGCATTAAAGCTCAATAGGTCAAGTTACAAAGAGGTTTACGGTGAACTTACCGTTTACAGATTTAGCCCTAAATTTCAGGATGTCACAGCCAGTCTCATCGACAATCTCACCTTCTTCATGAACATCTGTTGGGCGCCTAATATCTACATATGTAGCTGATACGACATCGTCGTAGAATTCAGAGATATCCTCATCCAAAGAATCAACGTCATCACCATTATCCTCGTCATTTTCTTCGTGCTCAGAGCGATGAGGTGCAGGAGAATTGATGATTGTGTTGTCAAACGGAGTCCAATCTCTTTCGTATTCAAAAACTCTGAAATGAATTTTTTTTGAATGAGATAGAAACCTAACCATTAATAAGTGTTTTGTGTGTTGTAATCGTGCATGCGCAACTAGTTGACGGATCAAAGGCTTCCCAATTGCCACCAATAACCTAAAGTGTTTTGTCGAACGCTTCAACAATACGTGCATAATTATCTTCAGATTGAAATCTGATTAGCACACCAATTATTCTCACCCATGTGATCCTTTCGAACTTTAGATCAACATTGAATCCCCTTTTTAGCCATTTGAACCATCTGTTCCAGCTGTGCTCGTTTGCATAGAAAGCCTCTACATCTTTATGAGTGAAAAAATTTATGATTACGTTCAGGCCACCCACGTAAAACACTTACCATGTCTGATTGCCTTTTAGTTCAAGAATGGTAGGTAATTTAGCAATGTGTTGGATGTTAATGGTTTCACTGACAAGGACACACCCATCCCATTTTTCCAGAGCCTTAGCAGGTTTGAGGGCAATAGGGTGAAGCGTCGAAGGAGCCGGAGTAGCCACATTTCCTACAACTGCTTCAGCGAATGGTCTCAAGTCACCACCAAGCCTTGGAGTGAGCAAAGGTAGGTAGAGCAACGTGGTTTCTGATATCTTTGAACCCCGACATACTTGGATGCTTCGATACTTAGCTATGTTCACTCTTAGGATGCAATGCTCACATATTACTCTGCTCATGTCTCTTTCCAGTGTCTTCGAGTAACGAACCCCTTCAAATATGATGAATGTGAAGATTGAACATGATCGATCTCTCTAGTCACCAATGTAAATGTCAAACACCTTTCTGAATGCCCGAAATGACTTTTTGATTTTTATCTTGGTTATTCCTTCCGATAATTTGGATACATAGTAAGACGTCACCAATGAGTTCATTGGGTTTGAGAGATAGGGGTATTGTTTCCACCGTACCTTCGTCTATCCGCCTTCAATCTCCGCCTCCTCTGCTATGCGACCATGCATTTCCATTTCTTCCCTTCTTCAAGAATCCACCTCACCAATTCGAATCCCTAAGCCCACTGCAATCCTATATGAAGATCTCCTTTAGGGTTCTTGCTTCAAGCTTATCAAACAACTTGCTAACTGAAATCTAACAACCCTCTTGCTTGAAATAAAACATGTGACAAAATGTTATTAATAGAGATTAACACGAACATTATATTGCTGACATTTTTGCATGGATTTCATAAATTAGTTGATTCCAAGATATGAAATACCATAACAAAACCAATATATATATATATATATATATATATATATATATATATATATATATATATATACTAGGTTATAACATGTGGAAACCACGATCGGTATGACTAAAAATTGTGTATAGATAAAAAAAATTATAATTGTCAATAAAGCATTGGATTCTCGATTGTAAGTAATCATAAGTTAATTTTTCAAAATAACAACATACTTTGATATTGTGTAGAAAAGATTATAAAAATGTAATTTTGTATGGAAGTAGGACGCTAAAACCGAACATTTAAAAAAGATCTATGAAAGTTTATTTTTCACAATAGCAACAATATAATTAGATATTGTGTAGAAAATATGACACAAAATGTAACTTTTCTATGAAAGTCGCATGCTAAAACCTGGACAATTACTTTCATAAAAAATCTATGAAAATTCATTTTTCAAAATATCAATTTTTGTGTAATATTTTGACTTTGATCGTGATATCAGAATTGATAAGGTCAATATCTTTTATGAAAGTAATATTTGAAGTATCCATACTCCTGATCAAGAAATTGAAGCAGAAATCTATTGAATCAAGTAGGATGCATTTCAATAATCAGATACGAACAAATGCTAAGGTCTTTATTGATTTCGAAACAGAAATAGCATCGGATACACATATTTTTGTTTTTTATATTAAAAAGCATGCTTTTCTTTGAAATTATGCAAAAAACAGGAATGACGAACTCATGCAACAGATGCACAAATAAAGATACTCTCTCCATCTCAAAATTACTGTCCACGTTTGACTTTTGAAGTCTTTCCATGTCAACTTTAACCATAAATAACTTTATTTGTGTTATATAATACACATGTACAAACAAATAAGAGAAATATATATATATATATATATATATATATATATATATATATATATATATATATGAAAGTTAATTATTAAAAATAGAAACATACTTAGATAATGTGTAGTAAAGATTATAAAAATGTAATTGTGTTGCATTTATAAAGCTGGCATTAGAACAGGTATAAAAAGGGTATAATGGGAAATTTGTGAAAAGTGAAAACAACAACCTACTTATATGTTTACATAAAAAAGGTTTAAAAAGTATAATTAATGGTATTCGTTGGATGTTATAATTGACAGAAAACTATAAGCATCTTACTTATATGTTTATACAATTTAGGTTAAATATAAGTAGGATGCTATAATTAAATGAAAAAAAAAGTACAATGCTATTATGTGGCATTTTATAGATTTTTCTTGGATGTTAGTGATAGGAAAACAAATAGAAACAATTATGCATGTTTAAAATGTATAAATCAGAGATAGTCTTTGTTAAAAAAATTAGAGAATGTAAACTTGGAAAATAAAAAGTCAAATACAAACCGCTTGTAATTACTTAAAAGAGTTATATGAAATGTCAAATACATACTCTTTTTAATTACTTAAAGGAGTTAGCTTTTACCTTTTTCTCCATGCCTTTTATTTTATTTCAATGTTTATCCGGGAGAAGAAATGTCAGAAATTGTTGTAGTTATGAAGCTGGAATTAGAACAGGTATAAAAATGGTATAATGGGAATTTTCGTTGAATGATTATTTGTTCGGGTTAAGATGCATCAAAGAAGATTTCTCTTTTAACAGACTTAAAAACTTGGAAAATCCGTGAAAACAAAAACCTACTTTGAGATTATCATAATGTCAAACACACAAAAGTTTAAAAAAATGGTTCAATCGTTCAAATGACATAGTTTTAACAAAAACATATGATGGTTAGTGGTGAATGAATATGAACTAACCTGGATTTTTTCTAGTCTCTATTGTAGAGTTGCATAATTCGTTGTGGAGAAAGAAACATAGTGTATAATGACTTTCAAGGTAGGGTTTGGCTTGTATAACATATGGAAATCAAACAGAGGATCAGGTAAATAAGGTATATAGGAAAATGTATCACTTAATTGTTTGGATACATTAAAATTTAAGAGAATTTTCAGTTTAGTTAAAACATAGTTTCCAGTTTTTTACAATAATATATGATAGGTAGGACAGAATGTTCATTATTTAAATCAATGATGGTATAATTATATTATAATTATATTATATGTAAATTAGGACGTTTGTTAATAATTTAAGCCATGAATGTGATACATATGTTTTCTATGCAATGAATATTTCAAAGTTTATCATGAAAAAATATCATAAAGGACTATTAGATAAAACTAAAATCTGATTTATTAGTCATTTAAAGCGTAACCGTCCTTAAAATTAATCGTATTTTAGAAATTAAGACCCCTTTATAAAAAAAAGAACCGGAAAATTTAAAAATTAAAAATTCCTTTTAAATATTTCCCATTTTTCGAATAGTTATGTTATAAATACTTACCATTTTTGAATATTTATGTTACCAAAAAAACAGAAATTTGGAAGATTTTTACCAAATACCAAAAAAAAAAAAAAAAAACCTAGGAATTCTTTAAAAGTTGTCACATGTCAATTAGCCTACCTAGAAAGGGGACATGTGACATTTAGAGGTTTTGTTTATTAGAGGAGGTATGTATATATATATATATATATATATATATATATATATATATATATATATATATATATATATATATATATATAGGTTCAAATATGGATGTACAGAAAGATCTAGTATGCCCAAAAATCATTATAGAATGATATTGATATTAATATATGATCTTATAGGGTCACACTATATAGCAAGTTACCGTCAATTGATTATTTATTAGTATAATTTGATTATTAATATATATCAACACTTGTATTTAATTGGAAAATTATTATTTAATGGAAATAATATTTTACTAATTGGGAACTTATTATTTGTGGAAATAATAATTATTGGATAAATAATAAATTATGAAATATATCATAAAGTATGATTATTTATAAGTTATTTTTATATCTTAATAAACTAGTTCAATTTATATAAAAGATAGTTTTTATATATAATATGTTTGTTATAATTTATATAAAAGATAGTTTTATATAAAATAAAATATTTATATATGACTAGTTATATAAATATATATATGTTGGGAATTCTTTATAAAAATGATTGATTTTTATAAAGATAACATATATGTATATATATAAACTAGCCATGAGACAACTTTTGTCTTCCTTTTGGACATGCCTTTTTCGAAAAATGGGAGGAGACAAGGCATGCATGCCTTGTCTATGTTTTGTCATGCTTGGGACAAAGTTGTCTCTCCTTTTACTTTATGGTCTCCTTTTACTTTTTGGCCATTATATAAGAGAGAGCATGGAAGGGTTTTGGATACACTTCTTGCAAGTCTTCTTCCTCCTCTTCTTAGAGCCAAAACCGTGAGCATGAGAGACTCTAAAGGGTTGCCATATTTTCAAAGTTTATGTCCTCTCTTCTCCCCTTTTCTCTTGCATTTTGATGTTTAAAGAATGTCCCTTTGTTGCTTAACCTTTAAACATATATTTGGTATATATTTCAAAGGCGTATGTACAACAAATTACAAGTGAATACTAGCATGTTTTGATGGTTCTACTCTTGCTTGGTGGATACTTGTAGAGAACTCTTGTTTTAAAGTTTCATGTCACACTTCATCAACTTCCAACCTCCCATAAGGATCAAAGTCTTCAAAGGTTGTTATGATTTCCCTTATATGGTTGTTTTAATCTTTCTAACTCTTGCAAAATGATCCTTGGTGGGTAAAATAGTTTTAGTTTTATTCAACATTTTAAAGCTTTCGTTTTCATTTTTACCAGTTGTGAAACCGGATTTATGAATAAAAACCCAACATGTAGATCTATTGTGCGAACGTGTGGACAATGTTATTCTGTGATAATCAATAAGAAAATATGTTGTTTGGTAATGTGAATACGTTCAACCTCAGAAAATATTGTCATTATCTCGCATTCTCACTAATTAAATCGTTCATAAAGGTAATATAGACTTTTTCTATGAATGTCATTATGTCAGAATGGTGTCAAAATGTGTTATTGATAATCGTATTTTGTAAGAATGAAAATGAGTGAAAACGATGAGTGAGAACAAAAATAAATAAGAATTAGTGAGCATGCATGATAATGACGATAGTTGTGCGAGGTTTAACGTATTCACATTACCAAACAACATATTATCTTAGTCATTCCAATAGAATATCATTGTCCACACACGTCTGTACAATAGATGTTCATCCACATTTGAACCTAGCCTATATATATATATATATATATATATATATATATATATATATATACATATATATATATATATATATATATATATATATATATATATATATAGATAAGGGATCCACACACGTTCGTACTATAGATGTTCATCCACATTTGAACCTAGCACACACACATATATATATATATATATATATATATATATATATATATATATATAAGGTACGTTCATGTGAGAAGGCCTAATTTTGTGAGACCGTGAGACCATTTTTTTCTAGTGAA